TCAAGTTGAACAGTGTCAACAAGTATGACTACGTGCTCACTGGTGAGCGTCCCCAGGGTCCTGGGGCAGGGTCCTCATCCTGCTGGTGACAGGGATAGGTCCAATTCCCTTTGCTTGGCTCTTCCCTGGTTCCTTCCTAAGGTGCTTGCAGTTCTTCTCCCCCTTCCTGCCCTCCACCCCAGGTTGAGGGTGAAATACTGCTACCCAGAAGTCATCTGTTATGTTTCTGGTTGTTTTTACTACCTATCAGTCTATTATGTTATCGGTTTGTGTATACAAGTGTACATGTGCGTGTCCACATTTACACAATTGCACACATATGGTGCCACAACATGGGTGTGTGTGGAGGTCTTTCCACTATGTAGGTTCCAGGGATTGATTTTGGATTTTTGACTTGCCGGCAAGCATCCCCACTTGGTCAGACTTAGCTTTCGTTATCTGCCATGTTTTGTCTGGATATTGTGCCACACACCTAAAGCCCCAGCACATAGGCAGGTGGCACTCTGAATTCTATGGCAGCAGCCTGGTCTACATAGTGAGTTCTAGATAAGCCAGGGCTATGGACTGAGACCTTGCCTCAAAAAATTTAAATTTAGCTGTATTTTTTAATACAGTGTTTTGTGCACACTGGAAGATGGCATTGTGTCAGGTGGGTCTACAGTTATACAGTTGGGACCTGTCATGTAGATACTGGGTACTGAACTTAGGACTTGTGGCAGAACAGCTCTTAACCACAGAGCTGTCTCTCTCCAGCCTCACAATAAAAGAGACACAGGAGCTAGAGAGATGGCCCCGTGGTTTAAAGCACTTAGCATTCTTGAAGACCCAAGGTCAGTTCCCAGCTCTAAACCATGTTTAACTCCAGCTCCAGGAGTTCGGACACCATCCCCTGACTTCTGAGTGCCCATGCCCACACGTGGTGTATGGACATACAGTCAGACGCACACAGACACATAAACATTTTTTGGAATGATATGTCTTGAAAGTTCAATTACTTGTCAATTATTGATCCTCCTAGCCATCAAATTTCCTCATGGACTTCTGGGATTTTCCTGTCTTCCCCTGCATGTGTACAAATATTTGGGGACATTCTGTATTCCCTAGTCACAGCATATGGCCTGTCCCTATGCAAAAGCATGCTTGATTTGATGGTATTTCTGACAGGAGATGGTCTGGTGGTCACTCTGCCCTATTTTGAGTGGACACATTTGATTTTTTTTTCCTCCCTAGGTTACACGAGAGACAAGTCCTTCCTGGCCATGGTGGTGGACATCGTGCAGGAGCTGAAGCAACAGAACTCTCGACTCGTGTACGGTGAGTGTACCCCATTATGCTGCTCCTATTAGGGAGGGGACCATTCCACCCCCTGTCTTCGAGCCACCTGTCTTCCTGCTTACCTGTTGTTTGACTCATGAGACCTCTAAGGAGAAGCCGAGTGGACTAGTCATCTGGAGGACTGGGAAAGTTTGTCAGGGTGACATTACCTAGGGTTTCACATGGAAGGCATGAGAAGGGAGGGGATAATTATGGATGAAGTTCTGGGGTACCCAAGATGCGAGAGGTCTAATCTTAAAGAGGTCGAGGTTGGTTGATACCTCAGGCAGGGTACACTGTTGTGGGGGGTGGTGACAAAGTGGGGAGGGTCCATCATATCTAGTTTGTCTAGATAGCCTGGGGGCATTACCCTGGCTACCAGCTGGGCATGCCTGTATTCTCAGTTACATGAGAGGCTGAGGCAGGAAGACTGTGGATCTAAGAGTATCCTGGGTTACACCCTGAGACCCCAAGCTGCTGACCAGGTGTTCTGTCCCTGCAGTGTGTGACCCTGTGATGGGAGACAAATGGAACGGGGAAGGCTCCATGGTGAGTGGACTCACACCGATGTTAACCTGTGGTCTGTCTTCTGCTTAGGGTTCCCTTCCCAGGTAAACCAGTGTGGCCGATAGGCTGGTATGCACTGTCTGTGCCTGCATAGGCTACCCACATGTCCCATGGCAGCCATAGACAGTCTGTCAGCAGTGGGCAAGCTGTTTAGTAAACCTCCAGGTGTGGACACTGAAGCAGATGTCCTACAAGTTTCTCCTGTTGTGGGTGGTCTTCTCCTAAAGATTGATTGGAGGCTCTAGCTGAAGGAGGGATTGGGGGTGGGGGGTTGTTAGCCATTTACCCTTGACTGTAGGACTGTACTCTTCTGTCCAGAGGAGGCATCATGGGGGTCAAACACATGGCCTCTTACATACTAGCCACATACTCTGCCACTGAGATATGTACCAGCCACCAAACACAGTTAAAGAACTTTCCATGATAAGACCGGAGTCTAGGGGTTGTGCTGTGTAGGTGGTCCAGTAGTTTGTGCCAGTCTGCAGGCATCCATCTGGGTAGGACTCTGTATCTCCAGTTTAACTGGAAGTGCAGAGATTGGAACCCTGGACCACGCATCAGCACTGCAAAGCATCATGAGAGCAGTTATTTCTGTATCATGTAGGACTTGAGTATCAGGAACCAGACAGTAGGCATTTGTAATCCTAGTTACTTGGGGGCTGGGGAAGGAAGAGTACAAGTTCGAGGTCAGCCTGAATCCAAATTTTTAAAAAGGATCTTGGAGGTAGAGACAATGCTGGCCAACAGGCACAAGGCCCTGGGTCCATCCTCAGCATAGAGGTAATAAGAAAAACAAAAGTTAAAGATAGTTCTCTAAGATGGCTTTGATAAGTCACACCTGTAATCCAGGACTTGGAAGGAAACTGCATTGCTGTGAGTTCTAAGCCAGCCTGGGCTATAGAATAAGAACCCATATGGGGTTTGGAGGTGGGGGAGAGGTACTGTTTTGTGGAATTCTTCATTGATAACTTAAACAATGAGATGACCAGGAGGGGGTTAGCTCACAGGCATGTCTTCCATGGAGATGAGACACCCAGGACTCAGGCTACCAGACCCAGCTGGGCCCCAAACCCAGCTGGCAGGGCCTGAGGGCCTGGTGTTGCCTAAGTCATCCTGTGCTGTCCTTGGTCTTAGCTCCCTATCTCCCTTCCTTCTTGGTTCTGGTGAGCTGAGGCCATCCCCTCCTGCCTCAGGCCCTTCTCTTCCTTGGTGACACCCTTCTCTGTCCCTGTCACCCCCAACTCTGTGGATCCTCA